GCATATTCTAAAAAAAAGTAGAAATTCTAACTGACAAACTTTTTCATCTGCTCCACGACATGACTACCAATGGCTGGAGACCGGCTACATTAGGCAGCCTAGCAGTTCCTGCTTCTTGTTCTTGTTTTGTTTTAACTCAGCGTGTCTGAAATGTTACTCCTTGTAGGATTTTAATATCGTACACAAAGCTGAATACTGTCTTGAAAGCCAATGCTGCTAACATTTACAGACGTTACAAACAGATTCTTCAACAGAATTGACCTCTCAGTGGTAAAGAAAATTGCAGTGGAAGACACATTATTGCATTGTCGTATCAGAGCTCTGGATCTGCGGAGAGGCTCACTCCACTGTCCTCCAGCTTTCCCTTATAAACCAAAATGGCTTACAAATGTCATCTACAATAGTCCAATAAAGATTATGAACAAGACACCGTCCTTTCGCTGATGAGATAAGAAAGATTCAACTGCAAAATGCAGCACTGAACAGTTCATAAGGCTTGTTCTCAAATCAGACAAACAGAATTCAGATTGCAATAGTGTGTGTATGTGTTTAAAATTTAATTGAAATGATAGTTTGTTTTCTCCATAATGTTCGATCAGATGCCCGTGTTCCAGATCTAGATAGAAAGAAAAGAAAGAAAAACAAATTCTATCAGGGAAATCAGGAAGACCTCTTATCTTCAGGGTGTGCAGAATGTGTCAGGAAATAATTCTACTCTGTGCACTGAGAATGCCCAGCTAATGAAAAAACAGATCAGCCATTCACTAAGAGAAAATAATTGTCTGTATCTATGTTTTTCAAAGCAAACGGCAGTCGCATCTTACATTAAACAGGATGCATTAAAATAGGCTCTAATAATCTTTATGCCAAAGGAAGCTAATCCATTTTTCAGATCATACGATCCACGGCAATAAAAGGAAAGCATCAAACTAAAAACAATTTTAGAAATGGCTGCAGACTCTCATTTAATTAACATGCAACAGATCATATATTTATGAGGAAGTCAAAATATTTAGGAAGTCTATAATCCTGTAAGCCTTAATGTGGTATAAAAACAACAAATAAATGCAAAGTGTTACTGTTACACATGCCTGCCTGATCAATGGTTTTCACATATTGATCTATAAATGGAGTTGACAGTCTGTGTTGCCTGCACATTTTCCAAGTAGCTCTATTTTTGCACAAAACCAATACGGGCAATTACCTTTGTTTGAGATGCCAAGTCTTATCAATTCAATGTGATTTAGTGTCATTTTAATTAAATATCAGGATCCACTTCAGGACAATTTATCCAAACAAAGCCTCAAACCTGACTATAAGCTTGATTTGAAGTAAATATGGACATGCCCTACAATCTCATAATATTTCTCGAAAAGTCTGCTAAACAGAAGGCTTATATTTTTAGTAGTGATTTTTATGTCTGCCTTTTTGGCTAGCCACAACTTTGGCAAGCATCCTATAATGACAGAAGTAAGAAACAAAAGAAAATTGTTTCCTCTTTTTCCTGATAATACGTTGAAATGGGGCGGGGGTGGGGGTGGTAATAGTGTGTTAACTGTGGAAAGAGGAGTCTTGTATGCTAACACTTAGGGATGGCTCGACCTAAGTCCTCATCTAAACACCACTGGAAACATATTTCTCTGTTCATGATGGCCATGAATGTAGTAATGCCCTTCTGTGGGTTTGCAGGATGGAAATGGTGAATATTCATGCTTGTCGCTGCTGAAGACACCAGCATTAAACGCTGAAATAGCTCCAGCCTGCAGATCCTGTGTTTGCAGCTTCCTGAGTTGGGCTGTTTAAACTGTTCATTAATATCTATTTTAAACTGTCTGTCTGGGAGACTGGAGCATCCCTACAGTAAACAGGCATCGAAGTACTTTGAGCCTTTTGCACTAGCTATTTGCTGAATTGAACATTGGCCCTCCGCGCTTAGATGGGGAACTTCATTTGCTCTACTTTTTGCCCTTGCTGTCTGCTTTTCTAGAGCACACTTGTTCTGAAAAAGAAGCTACCCTTCTTTCAGAGATGTCTCTGTTCATCTCCGAATGGGAAAGTAGATCACTACAGCAACCAGGAAGTTTCCTTCCCCTTCAAATGGCGCTCTCTAGGTTTCTTTTATGTAGAGACAAATGTCTTGCAAGCTGTAACCTTTGACATCTAATAGTCCTACCTCTTGAACATTTCCTGAATATCAAATCAACCTCTTGAAAATTTGAAAATGATCATTTGATGTTGAAAGAGAGCAACAGACACTAATAGTGTTCTACTGTCAGGTGGGATAGCTGCGTAATTGAAATGTCTCCCTGAAACATTTAAGTCATCCAAATTCCGAAACTCATCCCTGTTTGTATTACGTGGGGTTGAAGAACTACATTAGCATTTCAGAATACATTTAATTTTCAGAATCTTAAAGGACTTACCAATGACATAAAATGTACTGTAAATATGCAGTCAGAAAAATACTATGATTCTACTAATTCAATTATGAATTAATAAACATTGTATTGATTTTACCCTAAGATATTAAAAATAATAATCAAAAATGAAATCACTGTATCAGACAGATTATGTTATTAATTATTCCAGAAGTTTAAAATGAGACTTACTAATAAACAGACATAACAAACAAGACATTTTATTAAACAGTATACAAGACACAGTCTATGTGTGGCCTCCAAGCACCTACTGTTTCCTTCGTGGAGATTCCATGTGTGTTTCTGTTATAACAAACTGTTTTGTTTAAACATGTGTACACATTCTTAGGGTCCATCCCACCCCACTTCCAAATGCAGACTCTCCCCCTTGACCTCACATTGTCCCCCGACTTCTGAAAAGCTACGGAGATAACTTTAATGGGCTTGTTTGAATAAATATGCCAAAATACTTTACATTCTGTCAGTATCTAGTCAGAAAATTGTGCATGGAAAAAAAAAGATGAAAAGAACTGAGACAGAAAGAAAATTAGTGCCGTGGCAGGCTTTCAATACAGAGTCTCTGAGCCAAGCTTTCTCCGTGAAATGACATATCCTCACCAAAATACCCCCTTTTATATAATTATGCACTGAGTACACATAACCAGAAGTAACTTTTATTTTTGTTCCTTATCGAGGAATCCATATTGCTCAGACTAAGACTGCGGAAACAAAGGCTGGGATAATTATAGCTAATTTAACTTTGGAAAACTCTTATTCTTTAGCAGTCCAGCATACAACCCCCCAAACTAAAGTTATGTAACAAGGTAATACCAACAATGAGAAACTGCATGATAAAATCCTGCCCAAAAGTGAAAAATGCTAATTTTGTCTCATTTAGCAGCTGGATACAGAAATGCTCATTAGTTTTAAGAGGGTTAATCCTTTTAACTTTTGCATATTGATATGCCAATTATGCCTAATTGTACAAGAGGCATCAGTCAAGGTAATAGTGCATAAACACATGAAAGTTATTAAGTACATCCCAACATGTAATAAAGTAGGTGTTAATTGGTAGCTGAGTTCTGCGGGCTATTGAGGTGGATAATTCATTGAGAGATGGATCACTTGTAATTTCTCTCCATAATTCCTTTTGCAGTCTCACGCTGTGATGTTTTCATGCTTGTCAAAAACAACTGCGGCATAGTGCCTTTTGTTAAACACAGCCAATAAAATATGTTAGGCATCATTAAATATACTTAACTTTTAAACTTTTTCAAAGGTACAGTTCTTATGGATAGTACGTATAGAGAGTCCAATAATTGACTCTAACTACTGTCTCAGGTTCATAGTTGAGAAGCAGCTTAGCTGTTTTTAAAGTGAAGGCAGCTAACAGTGCTGTGCCTCCCAGCAGACAATTGTTGTAAATGAGAAAGTCAATAAAGGAGAATGCTTTTCTCAGGAGTTACCTTATCTAAGGATGTATTCTCCTCCCTCTGGCTTTCTCACGTTAAACCTGCCTATAACACCTGAAAAGGTACTGATCAAACTCGTGAATTTCTCAAACCCCTGAGATTGCTGTGACTTCATTATGCACTTGAAATTCAAGTGAAAAATGGAAAATAAATACAATTGAGAACATTCTACTCAGTAAGTTTACCTGATTTATGAACTCGGTTAGGGAGTTGTATAGTTTATAAGCACCTGTGATATGAATAGAACAGTCAATTAATAGCTCACATGCTTCTGCAGGCTGACTGAGACTCCCAGTCTGTCCCTGGCTACTTTATTTCTCAAGCTTCCTCTCACTGTGACAAACAAAATAGATCTGGGGTCCAAAAGAGTGGCTAACATTGCATAAATAATTTTGTAACATTCTATGGCCTCAGCTGCAAGTTACCACCATTATGGTAGAAAATTAACCAGAGGAGACCCATCGCAATCAGTGAGTTTAGTGGCTCAGGATGCGTGCAGGGCCAGAGACACAATTGGCAGTAGAGTTCATCTCTAACTATTTTATTTCAAATCTTTCTAATGACGCATTATCTAAACAAAATGGCTTCCTCTCCAAACCTTAAATAGCCACGCCGTTTCAAACATTTGAGCCTATTGCAAATCAAACCTCAATTTTCCACTCTTCTATATTATAGGGAGATTTTAAGAAAAAGATTTTTCACATTTTGAAGTTGTTGATTTTTTTTCCCCCTCAATTCATTCTTAGCTAATTTTAGCCTCTGGCTTTTCAAAGTGATGTACTGTATTTGGAAGTACAAACACCGCATGCTAGCATAACCTCATTATTTTTATGACACTGAAGCATGGTAGCAGAGGCCCTTAAAATGAGTCAAAGGTGCTCTTCAGGCTGGCTCTCCATCCCCTTTATCACTCTGGATTAGACCCAGCTCTGCTCCTGTAACTGGGGATATTATTATAACTATAAGTAGGCTAGATAAAATCCATTACAAAACAGTTTTCTCATGCACATTAGGTAAACAAACAAAACAAAGCTCATTAGCTGTATTTTTTTTAAAAAAAAAAAATTCTGTCTGCTAAGAGAATGTGGCATGTTTTGGGTATTTGACTTACAGGTTCAGTGACCTTCCCAGCATCGGTGAGGATCATGGATTTAGTTTGGCTCTGCCTGTCTTGGTGGCTGTTGGCATTTTTGATTCTCATTTGCACAGCTCCTGTAGCTTGGTGGGCAGAATTCAGTGTTTCCAAAGAGTTGTCACAGTTTGTAGATGTCTGCACACTGCAGCTTGTCCTGATGAAATTCAAAACATTATATTATTATAAATAAACATATATATTTATATAATACAAAGACATACACATACACACGTTAATCATTAAGGCACTAAAATTCAAAGAGTCTATACCTTTCTCAGCAGGAAATGAGACAGTTACTACTTTGTGTTCATCTGTAACAGCTCTGCCCTCCATCCCTACAGATGACAGATGTTTGTAAGTATCACAACTCCTAGCCATGTAATCCCTAGTACTATTGGAAGTTTCCATATAGGGTCTGGGGCGATAGTTAAGACCACTAAGATCACCTACTGCTCTTGAATAATAACTGTCTCAGTTTTCAACACTTACCTTAGGCAGCTCACAGCCTTGCCAGTCACTCCAGATCCATGTGATCCAACAATCTCTTCTGGCTTCTGTGGGCACTACATTCATGTGCCCAAACACACACACACACACACACACACACACTTGTTTAAAAATAATATCTTTTTAAATATTGTTTTATGTGTGAAAGTTCGCCTGTTCCATGTGTGTATAACACATGCAAGCAGTGCCATGGAAACCAGAAGAGGGTATCAGATCACCTGAAACTGGACTTCTAGATGAACATTTGTGACACAAATACAGCTTCTCACCTGCTTATTGTTGACCTTTTCCTAGCCTGACTATTGAACTCTCAACACTGGGTATAAGGATACAATGTTAGATAAAGCAATGACTAGTCCGATTTCAGCAGGAAATGTAACCCAAAAGAACAGTAGTCTTACATTTGAGGGATCAAGATATCTACAGGCTTAAGTTGGATTAGCTTCATTATAGAGATCAAGAAAAATAGGCATTAGTCAAATTCCTATCAACTGAAAGAGCAGCGAATTCTCTTAGCTGCTCAGGTAAGTTTTAGTGCCCCAAAAAGAAAATTAAGAAAAAGAATTTTCTATGTAATCCAGTCTACCATATTAAGAAATGATGATGCCAGCTCTTAGCCATTAACATAAAGGCTTTCATATACAACCTTGCTAGGTTTATATGTGTGTGTGTGATCAAAAGCTATATCAACCACAAGTAGAATTAGTGTCAGAACAAAGCAAGTGGATCTACTGGACTCCCAATCACAATATCCATGGGAGAATTTAAAATTCCTTTGTCCATTGACACTTGATTACTAAACTCTGTTAGATTAATTGGACATAATATTTAAGAAGAATATAATGAAAAAGTTTACTTACTTGTGCTATATATTATATTTATTTGTGATATGTATTCAATAGAAAGAGTCTAACTTAGGCAAACCCAGTATAGACACACTTTGCACAAGGACTGTGAGGATAATGAAGCAGATTCATGACATCTGAGGAAGAACACTCTTCAGCTGCCCCCGTGAGAGTCCCCCGTGTGAGCACAGCCTCTAATTCTTTATGGGGTTTCTCTGTGTAGAGTTGGTTGTCCTGAAACTCAGTCTGTAGGCCAGGCTGGCCTTGAACTCACAGTGGTCCTTCTGCCTCTACCTTAGAGTGCTGAGATTAAAGGCTTCGGTTACCACCCACCACCAGCCAACAACATCTTCTAATTCTAAGAGAACATTTGTGATGCAGACACGGCTTCCCAGCTGCAGATTGTGACCTTTTCCTAGCCTGGTCACTGCACTATCAATACTGGGTATAAGGATACAATGTTAGGTAAAGCAATGACTAGTCTGATTTCAACAGGAAATATTATCCAAAAGAACAGTAGTCTTACATTTGAGGAATCAAGAGTACTGATAACTGATATCTATTGACTTAAATTGGATCAACTTAGTTATAGAGATCAAGAAAAACAGGCATTAAATATGTAACATAAAAAATGTTTTTTTTGTTTTATTTTTTGTTTGTTTGTGTTTTGTTTTGGGACAGGGTCTTGTATGTCTCAGGCTTTCCTTATACTCACTAAATATCCTAGGATAACCTTGACGTTAGAACTCAACCCCCTTGCCTGGACCTTCAGTCCTAGGTT